GCACAATTGAAACCCATCTCCTACAAGCAGCCAAGTTCTTGGCGAGGTTCCTTTTCCCATTCTAAGATGCCTATAAATTATAGTTCAAGGGAAAGAGTGAACTAGACCTCCCACCACACTTAACCTTGGTCCTTATATAAACAGAAGCCAGAAACCCTTCTGGTATGAGGTCACCTCCTCTCCACAACACAGTCCTTGAACCAAGGGGACTTTATTTAGCTTAGCTTCCCCTCCCCCTTTAACAGTACTGTAATAGTGAGGTGATTTAAAGGCCACCTGCAAAGTGCCTTTGAAACTGGAGTACTCAACAGGGCAAAACTCTAGACCCGAATAATCTTCTCTTTTCTACAAACTCAAATACATCACAGACTTTTTCAGGAGTAAAATAAAAACATCCCCAAACCTATTGCGGTCATATTCAAGTGGATCAAATTTGTTGGCTTTCCTTGGTCGGACTGATTTGCTAGGTAGTTTCAGGTGATCGGGAGATAGAGGCCAAGAGGCTTATGGAGATGTTACTGAAATGTTCTACAACATTAGAGAAATCGAACGATTGCACTGGCCCAAAGCAATGGAGGACAGAGAAATAATGAACTATTAAGCTAACGAGTTAGCATTAGTAGAGAATCCTTCAGCCGCATTCTGAGCAGGTGATTCTCGAGGTAAGATGTATCCGTTCCTCACTAGCACTCGTACAAGTGCCATCTGTTTCTTGACGGTATCGCTTATCTCTTCGCAAAAAAAAAGAAGCCTTTGGGGATGGTAGGCCTGATGTTCTGGGCTAATTATGAATTAGGTTATTATATCTTGCTCAGCTACATTTCCCAACTCATTTTATCTGAATTTCCTGCCTCACCCCTGCACCTTAATTTTATTCCCTCCTCTAACTATTGCCAGGAGCTGCATGCACTGTTAATCAACCCCTCAATCTAGGAGCAGGTGTAGGGAGTCTCCCATCCCATCCGAGGGCTCAGGGACTCCTGATGAGGCGGGATATTGATACAGAACCAGGAGTGTTGTTTGTAAAAGGCAGAGGGTCCTTGAGGAGCAGGCAGGGGCTATTGATTGGGCAAGGTATCTGATACTGCATTTACATTCAAGAAATCAGATTTGGGGGCTTTGTGCATTTATCGTAATTGACATAGACATCCCTGGGTATCCTGGAGAGATACGTTGAAAACTTGCCCTTCTTGCCAGCCCACGAGAGCGCCAAGCCATGGGTGTGTCTCCTGAGAGGGTCAGGCTGACGGAGCACGTCGGGAGAGGGTTTTGGTACTTAAATTAGTGACATGGATGTGGAGGAACAAACGGCTTTGGTGACTGGGATGTAAGTCCAATCTTTCATTAGGGCAGTGTTATGTCACGATACAGGCTGGAGACCAGAGGGGGCTCATATCAAGCAGTCATTGCCAGAGAAGAGAGAAGAACTGGAAAGGTCACAGCGGAAGACTTCTCTGCAAAGCCCAAGGCAGCAGGTGCACCACTAAACTCCACCACTGGAGCGCTCCACTCGCCTCTGTGCCCCAGCGAGGACCTCAGGGCACAGAGAGGGGCTGACCTTTACTGAACTGGCCTAAACACCCCTCGGGCCAAAACTGTTTCTGGAAATAAGAAACATAGGGCTTAATGGTAAAATGCAAGAACGTTAGAAAAGAGGAGGCACAGAAAGAAAAATGACACCAAATACGCAATAAAAATATCTGGGCAGAGAAAACACCAGAATGAGTGAAGAGTGAGGCCCCGTTCGTTAACCGGTGTCTGATATATGTGAATGGCTGGGGGAGGAGGGCAGGGACTGGGACAGAACAGGGTCTGGAATTCACACAAATGTCGTGAGGACACAGATTTAGAGTAGGTTTATCACGACTACAGCCAAGACGGCAGCACCTTGAAGACAGGTGTCTGGAGATGGGGACTTACTGTCTTACTATGTACGTTTGCTGGGAAGTGGGGGGGACAGGCGGGTGCTGACAGGGACCAGTACATGGTTCCATAAACCTCACACCTTCCTGAACAAAATATATATTTTTCAGGGCTGGTGTCAGGCCTCATTGGGTGACTTCAGAGGCTCCCTTGTCCAGTTTCTTGTGCTCTCCAGGCGGAAGCTGTTAAGGACGCCTTCAACCAGAGATCACTGCCTTAACAGACCTGGTTCATTGTTAACCCCCCAACCGAAGTGAATTTAGTGCCTCACACAGAGTAGAGGGTCAATAAACGCTGGTTCAGGGAATGAATGAAAGAAATGAAGGAATAAACGAGGAACTTCACCATTAAATAGGAGGACTTTTAAATGCAAAAGTCTAGGTACAAGGTGGTGCGGGGACTAAAACCTATTTATACTAAAATTTAATTAAGCAGCCCATGTAATGCGTCTGGCAGTAGAGTCTTTCCCATCTCGGCAGAGAGGATTTTAAAGCAGGACAAGGAGCACCAGGGCTGACGTGGAACTGGGGAGAGTAGCCACAGGGAGAGCAGGACCCTGGCATATGAGTCATCTACCAATTAGAGCACCAAACTTTTCCTTCTTTGGATAAGTGGAGTGGGACAGAAACCAGGTACCTTCCTACAAGAAAAGAAAGTTCTCCCTCAAAACAGGACTAAAAGTGCAAAACGAAGGGGATAAACGCCTGAAGATAGATTTCTCTGAACAACGCCTTCAGGGCTGATCTATCTCCCACACCAGTCTGTGCGTGAGTTAGAGCTGCGTTTGGGGGTCTGTGTGGTCCTGAGCAACGGACCACCACTCACAGGGGCCCTGCTGTGCATGGGTCACAAAGGAACCTGAGGGTTATTTAGAAGAGAGGCACGGAGATATCCAGGAATCGAAACCCCAATGTATTAATTAGCTTAAGTATCACTTTACATTCTGAAAACATCCAGGTGGGCTCTCAGGAGAACCAATGGATGGGAGGGAAGGAAGCTATTTTTATTATTGGCAAATGCTGAGACAATATTTGTGTTTTGTGATTTTGTTTTCCACCTCATTTCAGTGTCTTTGTTATTCTTTCAAAGCCATCTCTTAGGGGGGAAAAAGGCATTATGCAAATGCAGCATCCAGGAAGGCTTTGTCTTACATCACCTCATTAGGCAACGTCTTGGTAGGTTTCTGCAGTTCTTTACAATGAAATCCATTCCGCTCTCTCTGTTTCCTTCCCAGGGGTAAATCTGCTGTCAATCTTTAATGAAATCTATCTGGCTACAGATTAATTGTATTACTCTCAGTCGTTTGTATCTCTTCTGGGCTGGTTTTTCTTTTTTTTTTTAAATATTGTATGATAGCTTTCCAGTGGCGTTCCATACACAACACACGTGGCTTGCATTTAGTATTTTTAACAATAACACGGAGAGATAACAAGGTTTATTTACCCCATTGTTTTTTTTTCCACCTTGGTAGTATTTGTTATCACAGAAAGCTTCCAAGAAGTAAATGGTTTGACATGCCATAAGACTCTCTCGCTCTTTTTTTTGCTGAGCAAATACTTCTTCCTCTTTACAGTCAATTCCAAACTGGAAGCTCTAATACAAAGAAAATGATGAAAATGTCTGTAAAAGCTACTGAGAAGTATTACGTCTGCCCATTCCATTTGATGCCCAGGGGGAGCCAAAATTCAGGATTTGTGGGAATGAATGCAAATATCTATCATCCCCCCCCCGCCAGAACTGGAAAAAAAAACCATTAAAGATCTAGTTATATGTAGGTCTCATCTATTCAGTCTACGTGGTTTCCATTCTCTTTGTTTTTCTTATTTTTTGGAAAGGAAATTCTGTTATCCATGTGCAATAACATAGTGCTAAAAACATTTTTTGCCACCAAAATGTAGGGTTGGAAAGAACTCTGCGTAATCATCTCTGTTGTTTCAGGTTGTCAGTGTTGGGGGTCTGGGGGCTTCATTGAAGCCAGTAAAAAAAAAACCAAGATTGTCCTCTGCAAGTTAAACTAAAATATCAATACTTACCCAGAGGTTTGGCACAAAAAAACCTACAAAGAGACTCCATGGCTCCCAGACCGGCTGGCAGGGCTCCCCTGAAGTCTGACTGTATTAAACGGAGCCACAAAAACCAGGTCAGGGGCAGGAGGAAGCTGGATAGAGAGGCCAACGCGGAGGCCGGAGGAGCAGGAGCAAGATGAACTCTGTCTCCAACTGCAGCCTAGCCAAGGGGACCCACGGTCCAAAGGGCCTATTCCCTCGCTCTCAAGTCTCCATCCGCTCCTGCGCTCCGGTTCCACGCTCCAGAAGCCGACATCTGATGCTCAGGTGGCTCCCCGTATGGTAACCTTACAGAGAAAGGGTCGGCAGAGTGGAGAACCAAAGTCCCCAGTCCCTCCAGGTGTACATTCTTTCATTACAAATGGATACACTGCCATCCTGGCTCCCCGTAGAGATGTAGAAATGTGTCAAAATGTGCCGTGCATGCCATTCTATTCCTTCACCGCAATCGCTCTTCTCATTCTAATATAGCGGCGTGTTGCTTGGAGATCTCCATCTCACAGACTCTGATTATATGTGAGGTCAGACTTCAGTGTGCCGCTGGATCAAGTTCTATCAAAGGAATGTGACTTTGAATGGCAGAAACCTCATTAAAGGACAGTCAGCTGCCTTGAGGGACAGCCTTCAAGCCCTCTCCATGGGACGGAAGTTCAGCCACTGGAACGGGACCCAGCAAGCTAAGTCTCTTTCCCGTTCTGAGACTTCCAGACATTTCATCTCCCCTATCCGGAGAAGTTGCTTTAGAAAAGAAACCTCGACTAAATCCTTTCTCATAGACGTGAAGCCCCATTTCTTTGTTTTCCTATTTTCTCATTAAAAATGAAGTTTCCAAGGCAGTCCAACGTTATTTTTATTTTCTCAAGGGCTCCTTTTTCTAGACCTTTCTCCTACACATGTAACCCCAATTATATCTGTCCTCCTCAGAACATTTGTTGTTTTTTTATCTCTCTAAGCCATGTCTGCACGTTTTATACATTCTACTTGCGTTGCACTGGCCCTAGTGGAGGTGATACTCAGAATAGAGGGTTGGCCAAAAAGTTGGTGTAGTGTCCTCTGCACGATGGCTCTCCTAGGGCTTTGCTGCCTGTGACTTTAATTAGCAATAATCGTGCCTCAGCTAAACCTCATTGGCTACGGCCCTGCCACTCCACAAAGCTTAGTCATCTTTCACTTCACCCGAAACAGTTTTGTTGGACTGTATGGTGACCGCTGTCATAGCAACATACGCTTTTTAAAAAACTCATCAAAATGGGTGGATATTTTGTAGTCATTTTAATATTAAAGATGGAAGAAAACACGCAACGTTTGGGGCACAGTTTGCTTTATTATTTCAAGACAGGTAAAAACACAACAGAAATTGAAGAGATTTCTGCAGTGCATGGAGAAAGTGCTGTGACGGATCGAATGTGTCAAAAGTGGTTTGCGAAGTTTTGCGCTGGAGATGCTCCGTGGTTGGGTAGGTGAGATGAAGTTGACAGTGATCATTAATTGAGAACAATCAATGTTATACCCAAGAGAGATGGCCGACATACTCAAAATACCCAAATCAATAAAGTTATCGGGGAGAATGAAAAATGTGTCTTTTATTGTACCGAAAAAAACTGAATAGACTTTTTGGCCAACCCAATAGTATAAAATCAATACTGAGTGGTAGTAAAAAATCCAATTTTGAAAAAAAAAAAAGGCTTCTATATCTCTAGACTATTTTATCCGAGATGGGTTTTTAATTCACATTTAGTCTATGTTGCCTTACATCTTCATCTGCCATATTTGAACAAAGGCAACCCCTCCGCACTATTCTTGATAAAATGCTCTGGTTTCAGATGTATAGTATCGAGTAACATTTAGTTTTAATTTTTGCTGCCTTTATCACTTGTAATCTCGAATGCACTTGTAGTTAACAATTTAGTAAATTACAGTCGGCTCTTAGTTGTCTGCAGCCTGAGTATTTTCCCCACGAACGCTGTTTTCGCATTGAAGAGCAAACATGTATTTCATATAAGCAATTTAATTTGTTTGCATTTCACATACGCTCTGGGTAGTGTTCCTTTCAAGAAGTCTGGGCCACAGAGTGCGGAAATCCATCCGAACTAGCCAGTTTCTCGTTTCAGGAGCATTGCAAATGGAGGAATCTACTGGGGTAGGTTGCTTTTGGATTCATGGAGGGGCGTGTGTGTTTGGGTATTTGGTATGTATGTATTTAAAGCATATGGATACACTGTATTATCACAGGACTATACGTACGGCACACACCCCAGTGGGTGAAATATACACTCAGTGTTTTGCTTAATATGAACAGTATTTATTCTAAGAACGGGAGAAAGAAGAAGAAATTGCCTATTGGGTAGAAAGAGGAAAACAAGTCATTTCCATTAAAGATCTTCTAACTTCATTATCATGTTCACAGTGCATTTTTAGATATTGGTTACACTCGTATCTAAAGAATTTTAAAAAACCAGCCCAAAGCCAGACATTAATTTTAAATTAGCTACTATATCAGTGTGTCTTTTGTTGCCTTTTATTAGTTTCAATAACACATATCTGGTGATTCCGAAAGTCAAGTCATTTATGAAAGTATGAGATTCTGTGTGATGACCACTCACTTGGGAAGAACACAAACGTGTGTCTTACTGCTGTGGTTGACATGGCAGCAGTAATACTTCCTATTGTTACATCAAAACCTTGGAAGTTACTCCTACCAGTTCTCTGCAGGCAAATGCCTGGTCAGGGTTGCTGAAGCTGAGATCTCAATCTCTCTGGGATGACGTGTTAAGCCTTATTTAGTAGAGTGAGCGTCCCAGAGCGCCGGTCCTTCTAATTCTGCTGCTTTGATTGCCTTACCATTATGGTTTTTCAAAGAAAACCAAAAATATTTTTTTGGTTTCTAAAACTTTTACACAGCTGCCTTCTACGAAGAAAGGTGAATTGACTTTAATTTTGGATAAGGAAGTTCACAGGATTTTTATAAAGATTGTGAGATGCTAAATGGAATCAACAGTCCTGCCGGACAGTACCGCTGCATGGGCTCTATCTTCCCAGGTTTCTTCCTGCCTCACCCCCCTGCCAGCCCCTCCCCTCTCCCTGCACCACGCCCCCCACGCTGCGTCCCCTCCCTCCTGGCAGGTGGAGCCACTTCTCCCCGTCCTCTCTGCTTTCCCCTTGAGAAAATGAATCTGCACAGGTTATCACAGCGTCAGTGCCCTGTGCCTGCCCCTGGGGCACTGCCCCCCAACCCCGCTGGCAGCCCCCCCTCCCTTCCCCTTTCTAACAGGGTCTCCAAACAAACTGTCAACAGCAGATTGATAAGGTAGGGAGGGGACCCTGGGCGGGTTGCAGGCATTAGGCTTAGATGAGCTCGCGTTTCTTCTGAAAAGGTTTTTAAAAAAGGAAACACCAACATTTTGTTTCCTATCTAAAGTCTGAAAAGAAGCCCATAACCTTTTGCAACATTTTCCTATTTCATCAGCCTACAGTGCACCTGCTCTATTTGAAATTCCTTGGTATTAAAAAACAGGAAAGTCAAGTGCTCTACAGAAAAAAAGGCCTGTTTTTTATATTTTCACATCAAATGTTTTTCAATGTGGTTCCAAAAACACTGTCAACTGAACCATAGTTTTTAATATACTTCTTAGGGTCCAACTGGGGATATTGAGGAGGGGGAGGGAGGTAAGATTTCAAAATGAAGCTTTTATTAAAAAAATCTTTTCAGGCCTGTTGCTTAACAAAAATGCTTCAGCCTTCATTTGTAATGATGCTGGAAGCACATAGTAGTAATTCTGCAGTCTAGAAAAATGAGAGAAGAAGAGAAAAATTTGCCAACTGATTGGCTTATTAGGCGACTCCATTTTCTCTTTCTCTCCCTTCCTTCCTCCATTTCTCCTTCTCTTCCTCCCTTTTTAAACATTCGGTATAAAAATGCATGAGTTCTGCTCTAGCTGGTGTGGCTCAGTGGATTGAGTGCTGGCCTGTGAAACAAAGGGTCACTGGTTTAATTCCCAGTCAGTGTACGTGCCTGTGTTGTGGGCCAGGTCCCCACTAGGGGGCGTGCAAGAGGCAACCACACATTGATGCTTCTCTTCCTCCCTTCCCTTGTCTAAAAGTAAATAAATAAAATGTTTTAAAAAATGCCTGAGTTCTAGAGGCATATACACATAGATTTTAATCTTTGGACTCTCAACATAGAATTTACTGTCATTTTTTTCCTTTTGTGAATTTATTAACCCTTCTGAAGTTAAGTTTCTTTAGTTAAAAACTGGAAATACTGATGTATAACTTACAAAGTTTTGGGGGTGTACTGAATAAGCCAATATATGTAAATGCCCATAGTAGGAAATTAATATTAATGCTATTCCCCCCTCTATTTCATAAGCTAATATCATAAGCTAATTGGGAGATAATGATTTTGTAAGTATTATTTCTAACTATGCAGAGGACAGTGTAGTTCGCCTGAATTCCAAGTCCAACACCAAGGGAACAGAAGCCATCATTTCCTTTCAGAGAGTTTAAGATATGGGACAAAGGTTGACGTACCTATGGCATTCCTCGCCCACTAACACTTTAAAGAATTACTCGCTGGCTCACAGATGCTGGTTTTGATGAGTCATGAGCAAACACAACAGGGTGACGGACTCCAGGGCCATTGGTGACTTAGTGTTTTAGGGAGGTTTTGTCATTCACCGGTGGGAAAACAACATCTTGGAAAACATACAGGCCTTGGAACAAAATGTATGTGTCATTTCATTTGTGGGCAGTTCTATAAAAATGAGTCCTTTCAACTAGATTTCGGTGAGCTCCTTTAACTTTACCCTTACTTTGCACGGTGATGGGATTTGGTTCAATTATAAGGGTTAAAAAAAACCACTGCAAAATAATGGTGATGGTGCTAGAACTATTTATTCTGCAGCCTCCCTTAAGTTGTTCTTGGATAAGGGTGTTCTTGTTTGGATCAATGGGGATGGTTCCCTTTAGGCAGAGCTCCGGGCCAGTAATGACTGAGTCTCGCGGATACAGGCCCTCTTGGTTAAAATGCCGAATAAAAATATCTACTTTTTTTTTAAACAACAGAGAAAAGAAAAATCTGTATTTTAGACTTATTTCCCTGAGTAAAGTTGATCTCAATTCACTCAAATTGCCATTGCGACAACCAGACAAAGTGACATTTTTCTGGGCAACGCGACACCAGAAAGGAAGAGAAACGAGAAGGAAACAGCCCTCGACTCCTGCAGCAGGTCGAGCTCACCTGTCTGCGCTGACACAGGGGCACGTGTAAGACCATGGAGGGGACGCAGCACGGCTGCTGCAGAATTTCTCAGTTGTTCATTTCAAAAATAACCACTGCTGGCTGTGATGGTCAGTTTTATGTGTCGGTTCAGCAAGGCACCCAGTTCGTCAACCAAACAGCAATGCAGGTGATGCTGTGCAGGGATTATACAGATGTCCCGCAAGGCCTTTCGCACTTGACCGTTGGGTAAGAGTGACTGTGCCAGATGATCTGGATGGGCTGGTTCAATCGGTGGAAAGGCCTCGCGGGTGAAGGTGAGTATTCTTGAAGAAATTCGCTCTGGGCTGTGTTCCCTGGGTGCCGGCCTGCCCTTCCTGACAGCGGGCCCCGATTTAAGCTTGCTTAGCCACACCTTACAATGGCACAAACCTATGCAGTAAATCTCTCAAGATGTATCTTTCACTGGTTCTGTTTCTCTGGCTGAACCCGACTGATACATTAGCCAACAGAACTCTAAATCCTATCTGCTCTCATCCCTAGGGTCCCCTAGACTCCTCCCTCCAGATGCAACCTGTGCAAAAGAGGGGAGGAGGGAGGGCCCAAGGTGAAATACGCATACCAAAGTTTTTAGACATCACTATGAATTCCATCTGTTACCCAAGATGTACCAGTAAAATCACTTCAGTTTTTAAAGGCAAATACTACACAAAAAGTAATCTGTGACTTTTTTTTTGTATTCTCAAGGCATATGGAAAAGTATTCTGTATTCACTAAATGTTTGCTGAATAACAGTTACTAATATTCTAGATATTTCCAATGGGTTTTTATAGTAAAACATTGATTTTTTTTTAAGTGTCTTGTTTAGGAGAAGTATTTTTAAACACAATTTATAAAATCGAATCAATTAAGTACATCCTCACTTTAGGCTGTCATTAC